GGGACTCACTTCTACGTACCCACGTGCAGCTAAACGCTGTTGGGTGGAATATTTGGTTGTTAAAGTATGAGGCAATGCAATTGCAGTAAGTGTTTCGCCAGAAAAGCAGCAAGGTGAAATGTGGGGACTTAAACAGAAAACGACTTAATTACCATTTAGGTAGAGATTTTCCAGTAGATCTGAAAATCTGTGCTCCTGATGCAGCCCCAGATGCTTGTAACCCTTGTGCTACAGACACACATCAACATTCTTTGCTGGGCTAGGTCCAGTTCACGTTGGCTTTACTTAGCACCACACTCACCCTTCAGCCCAGGCGCATACTTGCCACTTAGTGCTCAGAAATACCAATTCCCAGCTGCACTGCCGGGGTGTGCAGGAGGCACAATGGGCCACATCTCTGTGCAACGTCAGTTTAACTCTCAATTTACTCTCAGCAGAGACATGCCCATTTCTAAAACAGGTCAGCTGCACCCCTCAGTTGGTAAGCTGTTCTTGCTAACTGGGATCTGTCCAACAGCAGTCTGATGCTCTTGCTAATATCAATGGAGATTTTAAATTGCCTTTAATTAGAGCTTTGGAAGATCTCCCTGTTTCTCAGCAATTAGCTTCTGTACTGGGTTTATTTGAATTGAACAGTAGCCCTCTACACTAGAGATATGACAAGCTTGGAAAACTGTTCATTTTTACTTTTTTTACTCTGCTTCTAATTCTTAACTCCATTGCCAACATGTAAAGGCTGATGTGGAGACAAAATATGTCTGAGACAATGAAAAATCTCAGAAATAGCTTAAGTCCATCTATGTCCTATCCACATGCTCACAGTTGGGTTTATTCTGCTTATAAACAGTCTGTCTCTGTTAATATGCAGTTAATTATCTCTGAATGAAGCTGCATGGTTTTGAGAAGCACTGAAAGTTTCAGGGATGGGGGAGCACAGTGGGAAGCATCTTACTGCTGCTGGCAGATCTGCTGGGTCCCAGCACTGCAAGCTGCCTCCCAGCAATTAAAAGGTCAGCGTTAGGAAGCAAAGATTGCTCCTGGATGGGATTTGCTGTCAGCAGAAGATCTTAAGGCAGAAGAAAGAGACCTGTCCCCATTCAGCACATGTCCATCTTTCAGTGTGCCCACACACATTCTCCTCCCCCCACCCCAGCTCTGTCATCCTTAGATTCTCACACAGGTGGTCATTTACCTCTCCAGCTGTCCTCAGCCTAAGACATCTGACACTGCAAACAGCCTTATCCCTACTGCATCTCCACATCCTTGTGGCCTCTAAGGCTCCTGCCCCTCCACGCTGCCACCACACCAGCTCAAAAACTGTAGAAATGTACTTACGTGAGGGATGGTATGCTCTCAGCACATCAGAACAAGCCTCCAGCCAAGTTATTAAAACCATTTAATACCACTTCTAACTGCTACTGAAGTTACACTAAAATACTTACAATTCATAAAATCATAGAATGGTTGGGGTTGGAAAGGACCTTCAGATCATCTAAGGTCTTGACATGGGCAGGGACACCTCACATTAGACCATGTCACCCAAGACTCTGTCCAACCTGGCCATGAGCACTGCCAGGGACAGAGCATTTACCACTTCTTTGAGTAACCCATTCCAGTGCCTCACCACCCTCACAGTAAAGAATTTCCTCCTTATATCTAATCTGAACTTCCCCTGTTTAAGTTTTAACCCGTTACCCCTTGTCCTGTCACTACAGTCCCTGAGGAAGAGTCCCTCTCCAGCATCCCTGTAGGCCCCCTTCAGATACTGGAAGGCTGCTATGAGGTCTCCACGCAGCCTCCTCTTTTCCAGGATGAACAGCCCCAACTTTCTCAGCCTGTCTTCATATGGGAGGTGCTCCAGTCCCCTGATCATCCTTGTGGCCCTTCTCTGGACTTGTTCCAACAGTTCCATGTCCTTTTTATGTTGAGGACACCAGAACTGCACACAATACTCCAGGTGAGGTCTCATGAGAGCAGAGTAGAGGGGCAGGATCACCTCCTTCAACCTGCTGGTCACGCTCCCTTTGATGGAGCCCAGGATACGGTTGGCTTTCTGGGCTGCAAGCGCACACTGCCTGCTTGTGTTCATTTTCTCATCAACCAACATCCCCAAGTCCTTCTCCGCAGGTCTGCTCTGAATCTTTTCTCTGCCCAACCTGTAGCTGTGCCTGGGATTGTTCCCACACAGGTGTAGGCCCTTGCACTTCCAAAGATTTCCATCGCTGTACGGTCTTAAAGCCACATAAGACTGTAGCTTTAACTGCGACCTCTGCTCCCAGTTACAGCTCTGCCTTGCTACAGGAGGCAAAAGCAGGGAAGGATGGTGCTTGTTTTCCTCCAAACAGATGTTGATGGAAAAAGCAGAAAAACAGAACCTGGAAATTTTGGTTAAAAAAAGTCCCTTACTGTGTCAGTCTTCTACAGTGATTATAAAATTGTGACTTCTTTCAAGGCGTTTATCCTTCAGCGCTTTCTTTAAAGTATACATCCACTCCTGATCTCATGGGCTCAAGCTGTACTCTTAACATTTTCTGAATTGCAGCCTCCTGATCCAGAAAAATAAGCAACACCACCAACAAAACAAGAGCACAGGTGCTGCTAAAATGACAATCACTCCCCAGGATCTGAGCCTGCAGTTACATAGCCCGAGACAGAAATCTACTGTCTGCACCATACAGCAAAAGTGCCAGTTTCCCTCCATTCAGGGATTAAATAGATGGCCACATAGCAGTTAGATGACCTGTGTCCCTGTCCAATGCTGTTAAGTACTCAAGCAGCAGCACAGCTTCACTTTAATTGCATAAGCATACAGCTTGTTCAGACTCCACTCAGGCCCACACTCAAGGATTTAAAGTAGTCTTTAGAGTAGTCACTGCCTCATGTGTATTAATCTCCTTTGCATACACATAAGGGCCTTGAAAACTTCAGCTCCCATCCTTACTCCTCCAGTACAAATCATGCACTCATTTTGATTCAACAGCATAAAAAGACCAGCAACTAATATCAGAGGGGTCAAAGAAAGCAAGGCAAAAAGTTTAGGCAGAAAAGCTCTACCAGAATCCTACATAAAGGATCAGGTGAGTTTAATACATCCCCTTTTAATCCTTACAACCGCACTCTCAACCCACAAGCAGCAAGTTTCACCAGTGCACCAGAAAGCTACAGCTGGTTTAGAGCACTGCAGGAGGAACCTTCATGTCACACAGCAAGCACCCTCTCCAGATTGGCCATTTTCGTAGGCACCCAAATTACCTATAAGTACCCAACCACAGCCATAAATCAATCAAACCATCTGCAGCTTCCACAGGAAAACTCATGCAAGACAAAAGTATCATTTTCACCATGGCTAACGGTCATGAACTTGGAGGCTGAAATTTTAGTTCATGCCAAGAAATACGGTAGTCAATAACAGATTCAGCCTACAAATAACTAGAAGGCCTGACCTGTGCAATCGGCTAAGGATAGAAGATTCATTTGTTTTTCAGTTATTTATTATCTCTCAAAAACTAGCAAAACTGGCTCATTCAGAGTTACATTTAATAAGTCATTGCTATATTCTAGCCCAGACTCCTAGAGTGATATGTCATTAGATCTGCTGCCTAGTACTACAGACAGCTGCTCCCATACAATAACACTGATTAGAGCACATATATTTGTCCAACTGAAAGAGTCTGAGCATCAGGCTGAGAACAACAAGGCGCTCAGGTTGAGTAATTAACATCCTTAAAGACCCTCTAGACAGTCCTGGGTATACAGTGTGTGCTGTAAGGAAAGGTTGTTTATTTGGGGGAGCTAGTAAGCTGGGAGAAGGGAAGTCCCTCATTCTCAATCAAAAATATTAAAGACTGGGGCTTCTGTTGTAGGACCACTGCCGAACTATTGCTTCTTCAAGAAACTGGCTGAAATCCAGTGCTCAAAAATGTTGTCAATGGCATGTTCTTAGGTGTCTTGAAGAAGATAACACAGAAACATGGGCTATCATCCACTATTGCTGTCAGCTTTATATGACAAATGTCAGCATAACACAGCCAGGGCTGTATCCTTCTGTTGACGGCAGCCTTGTAAAAGCCTGTCAGGCAACCTCATGCTGGGTCCCAGGTGGGGACAGGATTACCATCAAGAGCTATCAGGTACCACAACCCTCAAAGCTCAAATCTCTATTCTTTCACACCTTCTCCAGATTTGCCTTTTCTTCCTCCACCTTCCTCTACTGAAACCTGTGGCTATGCTATGTTCACCCTCTGACTCAATAATGAGGCTTGCATTCCCTCACACTAAGCAGATTACCACCAGCACTTGTCCCCTTTGCAACACTGCAACTAAAGTCTCTATTTCTCATCTTATTTTCCCAATTTGAAATGGCTTGGTGCCCGCATGCCTCTCTTCCTGGCTGCACCCTCATGTTTCCCCTAAGCTGCACCCCCAGCATTGCCTCTTAATGGCCACAGGAGCACTCAGCCTCTGTCTCATGCTACTAACCCACTCTCCCATCTGGTGCAGGAAGCACCATCAGCTTCCCTCAGGCTAGGTTTTATTACTAAGCGTGGAATTTTCCAAATATTGACACATTTCAGCCTAAATAATATTTTATTATTGCTTATAAAGCTGGCTCTGTTTCACCTTCTACACTACATCAAAAATTATTTAGCTGCCTTAAAAATAACTCACACATAACAGCAGCAGAAATAGGCTATGCTTAGCACAGTCCATCAGCTAAACTAAAACACCAAGACCCCCATCTGCTTATATCAAACTGTGATAGGCATAAATCAATACACACATTTCTGGGCAGTTCTCCCATAAACACGTATCTACACAGGGAGGAAACCACATACATTCAGCCTAATTGAATAATAATGTAAATTACAGTAAACACAAAAATGACACCTTGATGCAGTACAATAAACATAATTTACACAGAAAGCTGAATACTAGGATAAAAGATACTCTACAAAACAACGCACAGACAAAAAGGAACTACTGCAGACTACTGGATATACCTTGGATGGACTTCTGCCACTTGCTTACAAACATCCTGCCCTATTTCAAACGGCTCCCAATTCTTTGGTCCAATGCCTCAAAAAAAGCTGCTTTCCTCAAAATGTCTCGCCTAGAAACTACACAAAACTGGTCCCAACAAAACAACCACCACAACTCTTCCTGAGCAAGCTATTCTGTAGCCTCTTAATCTACCCTTGGTCATGAGCACCTGGAACCTGGTGAGCACCTGGTCTGATTGCTCTGAATTGTCATAGTTTCATTAACTTTAACAGATCCCTGACGACAATTTGTATCAGTTGAGGACCTAGGAGCTAATTCCTTTATTTGTTTGAGCCCAGCCCATGTTTGGAGATAACATAGTAGGGAAAAATAAAAAAACATACAAAGCTTTATTTCCTATTAAGCTTGAAGCCAGGCAGCGGTAGAAGTTAACTTGCTTGCAAGCAAAAGATTTTACTTTGTGATACATTGATTGTACCTCTGAAATTCAGGCAAGAGGTTTCACATCCACTTATTTAACAACAGCTTCAAGGGACAGTGAGCAGGAGGCAGAAGATGTCTTGGATGTTTTCATGTTGCTAAGGAAACTGCCTCTGTGATGACCATTGCTCACCACAGCTGGGTCACTTGGGCTTTGCTTCTTAGAGTAAAGGATGAGTCACGGCTGGAGAGTAAACTGCACAAACTTGCCAAAGACTGCTTTTATTGCCTACTTCCACTCAATTAACAGTTATATCCAACTCTTCAAATAGACACAGAAAAAAGAATACAACCGCTATTTTTTCCACACACTGTTACAGGTACTGGCAACGCTAGGGTGAACATTAGGATGTGTCATGCCAAAATGTCTTGATGACACAACACTGGCTATCACTGTAAAACTTTGGTGAATTGTAGTACCCCTTCCAGCTGCAGCTGCTGCATTAGGTGCTCTTAAGTTTGGGGTATTAGACCTCAGGATTCTCAGTTATGTTTCAAATTTTCTGTTAGTCCAAAGCTTGAAAGCTGCGATTGAGTTAATATCCAAACCAACCTCTACACATGAGGCTGCAGTACTCCAACGTTAACTCTAAGTGGGATGAGATTCCATCTGATGAACCTTGGCTCAGACGACTGATAGTTCTGTTTGTTGTTGCCAGCTGTGAAACAGCAGGGTGCCTGAGATGAGCATCCGCAGCATCCACTTCCACAGGCCAGGATGTTGTTCTTTGTTTCTGGATCTAGATAAAAATTCATCAGACTTTTGGGAAGGAAAAGGGTGTAAGGTTTCATAGCACAACAATGCCACGAGCTGCTAAGTGACCATTCTGCCTGACATGATAGGAGTCTTGTGGGAACGCTGCTTTTGTGGGATTTTCGTTATTTTCTTGGACTGATCTGTGAAGAAGGGCTAATTTTATGTGATATCAGCCACATATTTTCAGATGACAGCATATAGAAATGGTTTATTTTAGATCCATCCAGCAACCTGAACACATAATCCTTTTTGCAAGGATTCAAAGCCAGTTCCTCAAAGCCCTTCCCAGAACTTAACACAAGAGTATCAAGTGAATGTCTTTATATACACTGATTATCTTTCTAATTATTTGTAAAAAGAGATGACTGATTTCTGAATTAAGACTTAATGAAGATGTAACAGCTTGGCATTTGAGCATCAGTGACTTTGTTTCAGTGATTTTTCTCATCTACTCCCTTAAGTAGAAGCTAGCTCCCATCACATAGCTCCAGGGCCAGCGCTGTATCTTGAAGGGCCAACAGGCAGTGTACAGATGTTGGAAAAAGGCAGCAAAACATTCACATGTTTTGAGATGCAGGTCTATGCGGCCCACAGCAGAAACCTGTTGGAGCAAGACTCTCTGCATATCGTATTATCAATACTGCAGCATCATGCAGCATGTAACAGGTTGCCTCCATGGCAGCCAGACAACTGGACCCAACCTGAAATCATTTGCAGGCTTGTTCCTCCATTTTCCATAACACGACTGGTGCTAAAGAGAATTTTGTTTGTTTCCAGACTTCCTTAAAAAAAACTTCACCTGGCTTTGACCTCAAATCCTTCTGCTCTGACTGGGCTGAGAGAAGATTGTTCTTTAGGACTCCATCACTTGTTAATTCTCTTAAAGAGATTACTCAAATCTCCTAAACAAACATCAGACTAGATTTTGGGTTCAGCATAGGTGCTAAAATGACCTTGCTGATAAAATCAGCATGATCTAACCTCACAAGTTGGAGAGGGATGCCTTGGATGTAATTTTGACTCGGTTTGACTATCATGGTAAGTTATCTGACTGCTCTGCATCTCTGTTCCCCTATCTCTAGTATTCTTGCAGTGTTCCTTGAGAACCAATACAGAAAATGTCAGGTCTTCCAGATCTTTGTGGGAAACACAATATATTGACAAAGTCGCTGGGACTACACACAACTTGCTGTTTTCTTTTACTAATGTTTATTGCTTTTTCTTTTTTCTCATATTTGAGCTCTCTGGTTCATTTCAGTGTCAGCATGAGGCTGGTTTGCACAGCATTCCAACTCCTGTGTTAATCAGCATTCGGCTGGGTGCTCCGGTACAGGTGCTAGGGCATGATATCATACCCCAGGGTCCTCTGTGGACTCACCTCCTTTGCCTGCCGCCTTTGGGTGATTTGCCCTCTGTGCAGCTATTAGCCAGATTTATTTATGTTCTGTGTCTATTTGTGTAGATTTCTTTCTGTCTTGTTTGTGTTTCAGAAATAATTAACCCTGCAACGACAGATGTGGATTTTGATTGTGTAACAGACAATTTCTTAAGAACTAGGAGTAGCTCAGCAAGTCTTTTTGTCATTGTGTTGTGGCCAGGAATGAAGCATAGAAGTTTTATCTGTGATGAGCTTTTCACAAAACATGGATCACTAAGTCAAAACTGTATCACCTTTAACCTATACCTCTTCTGCTGTTGTTCTGTTACTGTTCTTTAACCCCAGCAGATTTCGTTGCAAAATCTCTAGCATCTGTAATGGAAACAATTCCAAATCCAGTAAGAATTCACAGAATATAAAAAAAAAAAGTAATATCCTTGAAGAGCAAAACCCATTGTGACTGAAGCACTTCCATGTAATTTCAAATCTCTTTGCCCAGTTTTCAGTTGAATTTATCCATTTGCTAATTCGAATTTTCTAGTACTTGGCTTACAATATCTAAACAAATATCACTCATGTGGAAACACATTAAAATTCTACCACAAGCTGGAACTTCTGGCTTCAAAAGTCTTGTCAGTTTTGCTCCTCAACTGTCAAGATGTAATGGTGGGTATGCCTTCCTCTCCTCAAAAATGTATTAGTCGCATTCACTGTTCCCTTCCTGAGCACTGTGCTCCATTTCACTCTCACTGTTGTCCATTATGGCAAAATTATCCTATTTCTACTACAAGTATATCTTGATGAGAAATATAACTTTTTCTGAAAGATTTCTTCATATGCTATTCTTTAGTTTTCCTTTGTTATTAATAATTTAGTATATTTTTATAAAAAATGTTGACACTGAGATGTGCTACACATAGACATTTCAAAGAATTTTACTATGACAAAATATTGGGAATTGTGCACAGTAGTCAGAGCTGAGAAACTGCGTTATACACTCTTGACTTCTGACAAAAGGAAGAGTGATCTGATTTTGTTCTGATTGCAAGAGCTGTCATCTGAGGTGGCAGATCAGAAGGCTACATTCCATTACACCACCTTTGGTTCTCATGTCCCAGATGAGGCAGGGCTGGGTCTTGCTTCTGCACATGGAATGCCATGCAGGGGGGGCACAGTGGATCCCACCCTCTCTTATCCCAGCTGGGTTCCCAGGGATAAAAGCGTCTGTAAGGACTCCAGGCTGAGTCTGAAAGTGCATCTCCGGATGAGGCAGCTGAAATTCGCTTTGTGCTCAGTAGTGCTGGCTCCCTTCCCTTCACAGCTGTCTCTTTCACTCCTCAGGGGCTTGTATTTCTGTGAGCTAATTTAAGGAGAAAAGCCTCTTTAATCTGGTATCTTACAGACCCAGAGTATGGCTTTTTTTTTTTATTTTATTTTAAATAAAATATGAATATTAAGCTCTTTAGGCAAGGACTTTGTCTTCCAACATCTCTTAAAAGGATTTAGTATGTTGCTGGTATTAGAGGTGTAAATACTACAATAATATAATACAGTTTGGAGCTCAGAAACTTGTTTCATTAGGAATAGGCTCACAAAGTGTATCTCTGTGTTGTGAAGGAAAAGGCTAAGGTATGAGGAGGGCTTCCCACAAAGTTATTTCTGAGCCTTGCCCTGGAAAATTTTGGCATCAAGAACCTATTTTGATTTAGGTTTTCTTGTCATTCACAGGGCTTTTCTCGTTTTGATTCTGAATGCAAAGATGTGAAAAGTACTTAATAAAAAAAAATTCTTTTAGAAAAGAATATACTGAAAAAATAATTTAACAGAATAGTAATGTTCTTGTACCACAGAGCAAATCTAATACCAACTTTATAAATTTAGTAAGATCTCTGCAAAAGCAGAGAAGTTCAATCTGAAGTGCATTCTTGAGGCTGAGGCCAATGTCCATCCAGTACCATAGAAATACTTTATCAGCTTCAATACAAGGCAGGTCAGGCATCCACTGCACTTGGATTGTCAGTGGCTTTTACTGTATTTGCTGAATATTTCACTCCAACTTGACACTGCCATTAAAGTAACATCCAATTTTCACAACAGTACAAATTCTCAGTATAGAAACATAGAATTCTATATGGGTTTAGATTGAAAAGACCGTTAAGATCGTTGAGTCCAACCACTAACCTTGCACTGCCAAATACACCACTAAACCCTGTGTGCTGCATATAGATGTCTTCTAAATCCTCCAGGGGCAGTGACTTCACCACTTCCCTAAGCAGCCTGGTCCAATGCTTGAGAACCCTTTTAGTGAAAAGTTTTTTCCTAATATCCAATCTAAATCTCCCTTGGTGCAACTTGAGACCATTTCCTCTTGTGCTATCGCTTGTTACTTAGAAGAAGAGATAAACAAAGCAGTCAAACAGGACCTGCCTTTCATAAACCCATACCTACTGGGCCTGGTCACATGGCTGTACTGTACATGCCGCAGGATAGCACTCAAGATGATCTGCTCCGTAACCTTTCCCAGCACCCAAGATCAGACTGACAGGTCTATAGCTCCCCGGATCCTCCTTCCAGCCACTCTTGTAGCCAGGCATCACATCTGCTAACTTCCAGTCAACTGAGACCTGCCTGCTGAGCCAGGACTGCTGATAAATAAAAATGGCTGTGAGCCCTTCCACCGGTTCCCTCAGTACTCTTGGGTGGATCCTGTGTGGCCCCATAGACTTGTGTGTGTTTA